TTATTATATAATTATAAAAAGAAAACAAATTTTTATAAAAAAGTAATTTTAAATAAATAATATGTATTTTTTTTAAATGACGCTGGCGCCCCAAATTTATTTTTTTTATTCATTTTTAAATAATTTTTACATTATTTACTTCTTTTTTCAAATTTACATTATTTATTATTTGAATTATTTTATTCCCTTTTATCTGTTAATTTTTGATAAATTTGTAAACAATTTTTGTATTTATAAAATAATATATATAATTTCCTTAACTGGCGCTATGGGCCACAGCGCCTGAGTGGAGCTGTGGCCCACAGCGCCCCAAATTTTTATTTTATTTTTTCGTTTTTGAATTATTTTTTTACATTATATTACTTATTTTTTGAAATTTACATTTTATATTATATGAATTTTTATTTTCCCTTTTATCTGTTAATTTTTTATAAATTTGTAAACAATTTTTGTATTTATAAAATAATATATGTATTTTTTAACTAGAGCTATGGCCCATAGCGACTTGAAATTTTTTAAATTTTTATTAAATAATTTATTCATATGTCGCTATATGTTATTTAGACGCTTTTATTATATACCCCCCTTCCCTTCTATTTAATCACATCGAAATCTCTACTTCATTTGTTGTTTTTGTTATTGTATTTGTTATTTATCCACTAAATCAGTCTGGTTGGTTGTTTGCTCCTGTTAAGTTGAGTTTTAAAATGTTATTTATGATTGAAATATTTTGTAGTTTAAATAAGTTGTATGTATTTGTACTAATATTTTAATTTTTCTGCAGATATTATGGATCAAATTATCGCTTATATTTACACTGGAAGGATGTATGAAAGTCCAGAATGTGATAGTATTTCTTTCCCACCGCCCATATCGTCATGAAAACTAACTTTTGGTCATTATGCAATGTGTAAAATTTTGAATCTTCCCTAGTCATCTCTTGGTTTACTCTCTCAAAGTTTGTCGTTGCTTCACCACTTTCCATGCCTTTCACCACCTCCACCACTATATCTTCGTCATCAAATTTTGATTCCGAGGATATAATCTACATCTCCACGTTAATACCAAGCGACTCTTCCTTTGAATGATAGCCATTTTACCTCTTACAATTGCAAAACTCATGTTGTTTTTTAGCTTCATCCACCAAATTGATGTTACAAATCATTCTGTTAATACACATATTTGCATTGAACTTAACTTGCTATGGTGAAGAGACTTGGATTAGGACCTTTTGATGGAGTTGCCTTGAGAAGATGAATATTCGGTTCTCCACTTGACTTCTCCTTGCTCCACAATCTTTCTTGAGGTCTTCAAATGTGGAAGAAATAATGAAAGACAAAGAATATGCTCTATTTTGGTGCATACTCTCCTAGAAGAAGAAGAAAGGAACCAAAGGCACAAAGGAAGGATTCTTTTGTGAAGGTTCTTAAGGAGAAAGTTTTCTCCAAGTGTGAGAGACTTTTGAGAGAGAATTTCTTAAAATGATGAAACCTCAAATGCATCAAAAGTGGTCAGCTACAAAGGAATAGGGTATATATAGGAGTTGGGAAGCTTATGTGAAAAGCTAGGTTAGCTAGAGTTCAAAGTAAACCATGGTATGGTTACTTTGAACTCTAGTCGCCCAAATTTGAATTTCAAATTCAAATTTGGGAGCTCCTTGGCCAGTCACACTTGTTTCACATACTCACATGGACCTCATGACATTTGAAATGTAATTTAAGTGGCATTTCATTTGAGTTTGAGACATTTGAATGGCACCTAGGCGTGACCATTCATGCATGCTCCAAATTCAAATGAAATGTTAACCTAAATTACATTTTAATGTACATAAAGTTCTCTCTAACCTTTAAACATCCTAAACTACTTGACCTATAATACAAGATCAAAAATAAACTATACTATAATTCCTAAAATAAAAGACAAAGAAAATGATACCAATATTGGCTATGTAAAGCCTTTGGTCAAAAACACTCAAAATACAAGGCAAAATGAATACAATGAAATAGTCCTATTCTATCTACAAGTTTACTAGGCCAAGCCTTAATATGTAATGGTCCACGTGAAAAGTAGTTTGGGCCTAGAAAGTCCACTATCCTCTATGCTAGCTAATCCCTCATGTATGTTCATAGCCATGACTCTAATAATTGAGTCTTTAACCCAAGGTCTTCCATCATCAATTTTTTTCCAGGTTGACATTTGTTGAATCTATTGCTATAAACGTCCCAAAAACACACTATAGAGTGAAAAATGGACAATATCCCTTCTTCCTCCTTTTTTTTATCTATTTTGTTATTCACTCCTCTGCTACCCCTTCTATCAACACAATATCATCTCCCAAGTACTTTAACTTTACTTCACCAACATCTTTGAAAAGTAGACATCTTTCAACTTATCAAACATGGATAGATCTCTTAAACACCCAACCCAAAATGTCTTTACCCATGTTTTTCCCCGGCACTACCACATCTTTTCCTCTTCAATCCTCTTTCATAACATATTTGCTTTATTTTTAGTTCACTTGCCATTTTTTTGAAGCCTCTGGATCTAATCTGACCACCACTTGAGCATGTGTATCTCTTGCATTTTTTTTTCTTCCCCTCCCACGAAGTTCAGTTGTTGGTGTGATATAAATCTCCCTCTACTAGTCCTACCATAAGTCCCTTTATCTTTTGCTCTCCCTCCTTGTACCCATCCACCATGCTTCAAGAATTTTGGTATATTCACTTTCAATTTTTTCACCATAATAAATTAAAAAAAATTTACTAAAATAAATTATTAAAAAAACTATTTACCAAATTAAATAGTTTTGGCCACATCGAATTTGAAGAGAAAAATAAAATGCTAGTTCCAATGACGACTTCCAGAAATGTATGTACACAGGAGAAAGGGAACAGAAAAATGTCAACCATTGTGACGTTTTCTATGGCTGATCCACCATAATAAATAAAAAATAAATAAAAATTACAAAAATAAATTAATAAAAACTATTTATCAAACTAAATAATTTTGGCCACGTCAAATTTAGAGAAAAGAAGAAAGCGTAAAACATCAATATGGTTGACATTTTTTTGTGCAAAACAAAATCAACGAAAAACGTCACTAATAGTGACGTTTTCTACACAAAACAAACTCAATGAAAAACGTCGGTGTGAGTGACGTTTTTTGCACCTGGTTAAACAAAAAACGTCATCATGCATGTGTTACATGGCTTCACATGTGCCTTACATGCCTTGATGAAGAGCCACGTATGTGTAGAAGCACATGCCTTGATGAAGAGGCAGAAGAGCCATGTATGTGTAGAAGCTTGTTCCTTTACGTGTCATGTATAGAAGACATCTTCAGCATTGACGTCTTTTGGTGATTGTTGGGCGAGTTGCGTGCCTAGTCCAGCAGCTCTAGCAAAGATTGAATTGAATAACAAGCTGCACAACAAGATTAAGTAAGGGAATTTGTTTTTTTGGCTTTTTGCTGCAACTCAAATATAATAGAGCAAATTAATGTGATTCTGGCACTAGCTCCCTCTCCTTTAGGATCCATGAAACTGAGCTTATCCCTTTTTTAATTGTTTATTCCTTCATTTTCCCCCATTTTCTTGCCTTTCACATTTTAGGAAAACCAATGAATCAGAATCTGAGCTTATCCCTCTTTTAATTGTTTGTTCTTTCAAATTTTTTTCTTTCCCATGCCTTTCACTACATGCTAGACGTCATTAGGGATGACGATTTTTGTTTAACCAACGTCACTCACACCGACGTTTTTCATTGAGTTTATTTTGTATAGAAAACGCCACTATCAATGATGTTTTTCATTGATTTTGTTTTCAACAGAAAGCGTAAACTATGTTGACGTTTTCTATTGCTTTCTCATGAAAAATCGTCTCTATCTTTGACGCTTTCTTCTTCTCTTTAAATTCAATATTATTTAATTTGATAAATAATTTTTTTATTAATTTATTTTTGTAATTTTTATTTATTATGGTGGATCATCCGTTTTCTACATGGTCCGTTGTGAACAAGAAACGTCAACTATTGTGACGTTTTCTGGATGGTCAAGTTTAAACGCAATTTGCATGGTTTGTGCGCAACAATGAACTGAAAGGCTCAATTTGATGTGAATGACAGCCACGTTCATAGTTGACAAAGCCACCCATTTATTTATAAGAAAATATAAATATAGGTTTATATGTTTTTTGTTTAAAATATAGAGTGAAGAGAGAAGAGCGTGTCTATAAATCATTAGCTTTGTGTTTTCAATTCCCTAGGATACTGTGTCATGGCTCCAGATCTACAAATTTCAGGTTATATTCGCATCATTTTTCCTTCATTATTTTTAGTTATGCTATAGCTAGTTACAATGGTAGATCTGATTGAACCAGACAAAATGGAAGGTGAGATGGTTCAAGTTAGCATTCAATATGTGCTCAAAAACATCAACTCGTCCAAGAAGGAAAACGTCTCAGGGATTGACGTCTTTAGCTTGCAAGGAATGCATTTATTACACACAAAGTCGTCACCAGAACTGACGTTTTCTTTTTCTCTTCAATTCACTATTTAATTTGGTAAATAATTTTTTTAATTTATTATGGCGTAAAAGCCTTCACCTTCATTTTCAGATTTCCTATACATATGTTGCCAATTCCTCTGTCATGCAAAAAACCTTGTTGGAGATTTCTATGTGCATTTTCCATTTTCGTGAACCAATCGCAAGGTTGCAAAAAAACCTTTTCTTCGCATTAACCTTCTCTACATACTCCGAAGATTATAAAATACAGCTTTCCACATGACCTCTTTTTCCCACTGCTTTGCAGAGTAACTCTGTTCCCACTTCCTTATTCCTTATTTCGCAAAGAAAAGAAAACATATTTGGGCTTTGATAAAAGCACTTTGAAAATAAGGTATATAAGGAAATCATTTTTATTTTCTTTTGTATTTTGCTTTATTTGAATCAATTATACCTTCATAAATGTTTTCCTGTTTTTTTATAAAAGAATTATCTTCGAATGACACGTGTTAAAAGTTCATATATGCTCTGAAGTGCCTATTGTAAGACCTCACTTGATCATCTCAATAGGGGACGATCCTAAGCGCAGAACGCTTGACCCAATGAGTAATACATGAAAACCTCCATATAAGAATCAACTAATATAACGTATCATTATACATGAAAAAAGTAATATTTGTGTGAAAGCACTAAAAATGCAAAAATAAAATAATGGGTAATCTCTAAAACCCTTTCATTCCCAAGCCCAATGTCGCTTTTAAATTCTCACAATCACAAAATATCCACCCCGTAACTACAATCCTTGTTCACGATCCTAGCCTGCGCCGTTAACTGATCCACCGTAACGTCACAAACGACCATAACGGTGATCTTCCACGTCTTAACGAACCCCACTTTAACTTTCACCGGTGCCCTCAGTTTCAGCGTCAACGGCACGCTCCGTTGGGCCACGGCCTTCACCAACGCCGTCTTCTCCGACGCCGTCAGTTCCACGCCGTTACCCGTCAACACCGTCTCGAACACGGTCACGTTATTCGGCGGCTGATAAAACGCCGGCAACGCGCCGTTGCACAGCATGGCTCCGTCGTAGAGCATCTCAACGGAGCTTCCCTTCTCGTAGTAGATTCCGATCTTCCCGTTGCCGTTACCGGCCCTGACGGAGACGTCGAACTCCGGCGACAGTGCCGCCGAGGTGAGGTTCATTCCCTTCACGGCGACGCCTTCGATGGCGTAGTCCGGCGCCTTCGGCCGCACGACGAAGTAGAAGACGGCGGCGGCGGCGGCGAGGAGAACGGCCAGGAGGAGGAGGATGGAGATGAACCAGCAGAGGCAGCAGCAGAAGCGGCACCGGCGAGTTTCCCGGCGAGTGTAGTGCGCGTAGTTTCGGTAATTTTCCGGCGGAGAGAGGCGGGGGGCCTGGGGCTTTTGGGT